TTCTGCCACAATTAAGCTCTTTCAGGCCAAGTCACTAGCATAGCTTCTTTACAGAACCTTGCTCGGACCTTCAGCTTCATATTTCACACTATTGGAAAGAGTTCAATCCAAATTTATTAGACCAATTCTCCAGGTGCTGCATTGTGTCTCAAATGCACTTCTGCATCTGGAGACAGGATTATAAAAGTCGAAGCAAGAATCTGTATACCTTCTTGGCTAAAGTTTATTTTTTTCTGCAAGGCCTTGCTCCATTAATCCTCCAAGACAAATTCTCCTCTCTTCATGGATCAAGGCTGTTTGAGTCCAACCTTCCCAAACTAGGCTTTTCTCCAGCCTCAATACTCAAGTTGGACTACAACCAAGCAAAACAAACCTTGTGACAAAGGATAGAGGACATCGAGAGGCAAGCAGACTTAGGGAAAGCTCCGTTGTTTCTGGCTCCAGACTGTATTAGATATGTTGTTACTCCTGCCAGTTGTCTTAGCCAGAACCACCATAAAGCAGGGTGGATAATAATTGATGATTTTTTCATTTTTTTAAAAAAAAAATCAGATTTTTTTTATTTAAATTAGATTTTGTTTTATTTTTATAAAATTTATTTTAATAAAATGCTTTTGGACTGCTATGCTATGTAGGATGGGTGAGGTAGGCCCAGTCCCCCTCTGCCATTTCAAAGCCAGGGGGGAGTGATGGTGAAAGGCTCTGCTGCTGCTGTGTGCTCCTGGAGGGGCTTTCTTCGTGCTTTGCCCCCAAAATCATCTGCCCCGTGGCAGCCGCCATCTTCTCCACCAACTCTCCCATGGCTTGTGCCATGGCCAGGCAGCGCAAGCCTCACCTGCCACCATCTTCCACCAGCCCTCTGTCGCTGCCACTGGGGAGAATGGGAAGGGCAGTGGCTCTGCACAGCGATGGAGAGCAGAGAAGAGCACTTGCTTGCTGCCCTGCATTGCCCCACATCTTCCTTCTCCATTTTGGAAATGGCAGCCCCATTTCCTGCCGCTTCTCCTGGCGCTGCTGTAGAGTTTGTCGCACCACTGCCCAGCTCCTCTCCCTTCCTGAAAGCATTTCTTCACTAACTTGCTTTCCAGCTCTGGCACGTTTCTCTCCTGCTGCAGGGAAATGGAGTTTGTGGGACTAAGCAAATTTCAGTCAGACTTACAACTTCCTGTGAGATCTTTTTTTTTTTTGCAAGAAGTTGGAAGGGGAGTGAAAGGGAAGGTCGCCAAGCAAGGAATGGCCTGGCTGGGGGGGGGGTCTGAAGTAAGCGGGGTGCATGGGAAGCTCCACCCCCTCCACCTGCCTTGCCTCATTGTGGCAGTGAGATGGGACGGAGTGGGCAGGGTCCTAATGGGCCTTGTGTCACTGCCACATCACCAGCTGTCCCATTAAAGTGAATGGGACTGTTGGTGAGTCAACAGCGGGTCCGAGGAAGAGCCGCTGCGGGACAGAGATGACAGTTGCTCTTTAAAAATTATGATTTAAATTGAGTTGATTTAAATCAAGTCTTTTTACTAGTGATTTAAATCATGATTTAAATCAAATCCACCCTGCCAGAAAACATTCTCGCTTGCACATTGCCATGCGCTTCCAACCGCACGGCAAGTATAAAAAGATACACGTGATTAATCCACCATAGCTATTTTACACAACTAATGCAGCAAACCCTTTTGCATTACTACTCTTTTGCATTTTAGTATTTAATGACTATGTTCCTCATAGTTTAAAGATTAATATTATAGTTAGGCCATGCTGTTTTTTGCTCATATGTAACTGACATATTGTGATTTTAATATAGATTTTATCTGTTATTTATTATTTTATTCTAGAATTTTTAATTGGATATTCCTTGAGTGTTTTTAACTTTTTCTTATCTTTGGTCTTTGACTGTAATAAATTTACTTGACTGAATTTGACTTTCTCTATATTGAACTTCATTTTATTAGATAGGGACCAGTGTTCAAGTCTGTTGAGATCCACCTGGATCTTGAGCCTATTATCGAGGTTGTTGACTATTCCTGCCAGCTTATATCATCTGCAAATTTGATAAGTTCCTCTTCTGTTCTCTCATCTAGATCATTTATGAAGAAATTAGAGTACTGTGCTTAAGACGGAAATTTGTGGTACCCCATAGCTTACTTCCCTTCCTTGGTTTTTGTGATGTCATTTTAAGGAGATTAAAATATGGCTATATCAACAATCAGAAGTAGAACCAGGAGGATTGAGTACCTTGGGAAGACCTGAACATTTATCTCTTTTTTCCATTAAAGAATGTTCTTTTAGTGTTTCATGTGTTTTAGAGATTATTAGATACTTTGAAATGCACAGATGCACGTGTTTAGAACAGCTGTGACTTCAAACTATTAATCCACTAGTAAGTGAAGGTGCTAGCATAGAAAATGAGACTATAAGTTCAAGGCCTCCTTTATGCATGAAAGTTGACTGGGTGACTTTGGGCCAGTCTCAGCCGAACCCATCTCACAGAGTTGTTAGGAAAATGGGAGGCAGAAGTATTAGGTGTGACCAGTACCCTAGGTTATAAAAGACAGCTTTATCTGGAGCAGCTTACATCCGGCAATAATACCTTTACTACTACGCGGCTCCAGATCATTTGTTGAAAGTCTGAGGGGGGGGGGTGGTTTCCTTTCCCCTTCTCCTTGCCCCAGGGTTCTAGGGACCATTGCCCTTCGTCTGTTCCACCTCTTCTCCCTTAAGGGCTTCAGCGCTGCAGCTCAAATTGCTGAGGCTTCAGCCTTCGTCAATTCCACTTCCTTAAGTGGCTTCGATGCTGGGCTCAGCGCCGTAGTTCGGATCTTTCCTTAGCCTCCCAGGAAAGATACGCAAGGCTCCTTGGCCTCCAACACATTTCTCCTCGCCTCGTTTGTCACAGCTGCCATTTTGGCTGCCGCAAACAAGCCGCAGCGGCCATTCGGAATTCTGGAGGGGGGGAGTTCCTTGTAAGGCCGTTCCTTCCCGTTACGAGTGAGGGGGGGAAAGCTCACACAGCAGCGTGAAGCAGTTTCAGCCCCCTTTTACTGGCTGTTGTGATCGGCCCAATTGCTGAAGATCGCGATCCGATCTGGGCGGCTGCCATCTTGGCCACGCCCTGTTCTTATTGCCTGAGGGGATTGTTGAGCCTTTCGGTCTTTCGTCGCATCGAAGCCCACTCCTCCGACACGGCCACATTTCAGCCACCGCTAGTCTTTTCCTCCCTGACCGCTACCATGCTTGGGATTTCACATAGGCATCATTAATCCTGTACAGCTGTCATTTTAGCTGCCGTCTGCCAGGCCCGGCCTGTACCCCACGCAATCTCCCTGTGCGGTCGCCATTTTGGACATGTGGCCGGCTGCTCACACAAAAGAGGTCCGGCAGCGAAGCCTACTCTGTGCTAAGCAACTTGGGCCACTCTCGTGCGAATTTTTGACCTGGCCACCATAAGATTTTAGCAGGCTGCACACCAGTTGGCTGTCACGGCCTCTGCCGCAGTTTGACCCACCCGGCGAGCGTGCTGACATCTCCCTCATCGCCTCCAAGGGTTCTATGTGCAAACGGGCTATTATCACGCAAATGATCTTACCACGGCTGTAGACATGACCAGACCCCAAGGGGACACTGAGTTACCAGTCAGGTAGCCAGGGGAGCAGTGTATATTTCCAGCTGCTTTAGCCAACCCGCCAATTGATCCCCTGCCAGAGCTCCCTCTCAGTACTTCCTGAGATAGCTCTTGTCAGGATGGAGGACTCCATCGTGCTCCAATCTACGACCATCACTTCCCCATCCACTAGCCAGGAAAGGCACAAATCCAGGGGAGCAGTGTATGCTCCAGCTGCTTTAGCCAACCCACCAATTGATCCCCTGCCAGAGCTCCCTCTCAGTACTTCCTGAGATAGTTCTTGTCAGGATGGAGGACTCCATCGTGCTCCAACCTACGACTATCACTTCCCCATCCACTAGCCAGGAAAGGCACAAATCCTCCAAACAGGAGGCAGCAGGCAGGATCAAGGCCAAGGCAACGGCCATTTCCAGGAAGCCTTCCAAATTGGCAGAGAAACAGGCAAGCAGAAGGCACCAGGCCCTGGAGAAGGAGTTCTCCAGGGCGCAGAGGCAGGCCAGGGCAGAGGCGGAGCAAGGGACTCCAGACTTTGACCTTCCGCTGGGGCCTTCGACCTCTACCCAGGGGGTATGGTCCCCGCAGGACAATCCCATGACACACACCCCTTCCTCCGGGGCAGGTCATGATATTATCAACCACACAACTGCATTCAACTTGCGGGCCGCACATCTCGGCCCAGAGGCCACCTTTACCCCTATGGCTGCCGGGCTCGGGGGTTGACCCCGAAGGCACCCCTCCTGACAATCACCTTGAGGCCCTGATCTCTGAGGAGGTTGACTGGGCTCTTGCCTCAAGGTCTATCGCATGCCCAGGACAGAATCAATGGCACCCGTACCTCCGTCTTATTTTTCCCAGTCAGGGCCCCCAGGTACCATGGTTCCCCCTCACCTTCCCATTCTTCGTATAGCAGGGCTTCTTCTCCAGCAGAATGCGACATCCCATGGTCTGAGGAAGAGGACCTCCCCTCCAGAGCCTCCACCTGGAGGTCTCTTCAACCCAGCCCTCTTTTTGCCACTGCTGCGCAAGGCCAGCATGACAGCCAACATAGGTCCCGATCAGGTCCCTCAGCCAGGCCTTCCGCCCACTTCAGACCCAAATCCGGTGTTCTTTGAGACTGTTACGACTCAGCACCATGTCCCTTGTCCATCCCTCTTCCTGGAGGTACCAAAGGTGGACGAGGTGGCACAGCAGTTAGAGTGCAGTACTACAGGCCACTTTAGCTGACTGTCTCACCAGCTCAAGGTTGACTCAGCCTTCCATCCTTCCGAGGTAGGTAAAATGAGGACCCAGATTGTTGGGGGCAATGTAAATATCTATCTATCTATCTATCTATCTATCTATCTATCTATCTATCTATCTATCTATCTATCTATCTATATTGCTTACTGGTGTACACCGCTTAGAAAGTGCTTGTACTTAAAGCGGTATATAAGTCTCATAAATAAATAAATAAATAACCTTTGGCCCCTCTCTTGTCCTCGTCCACAGTGTCGGGAGATATGGCTGAGGCACTGAAGATGGAGGACAGGAGATGGGAACTGGGAACTGGCCTTCTGTAGGACCCACCAGGTGGCGGCATGGGCGATGAGAACGACCACTTGTGCTTCCTTCTTTACCAGGACCTCGCTCCTCTGGCTTCGTCAGCTTCAAGCCAGAATCCCTCCAGAGGAGATACGCACTCATCAGGATTTGAGTAAGCTGGTCGCAGTGATAGAGTATGCCTCTGATGCTACTTTGCAGGCAGCCAGATTTTCCTCCAAGTCCATTGCATCCAATGTCACAGCACATCGGATGCTATGGCTTAAACATTGGCAATCCGATGCCAAATCCAAGTGGCGTCTGGCTGCGGCCCCTTATCAAGGAGGGCATTTGTTTGGAGAAGTCCTAAATCCTTATTTGACCGAGAATAAGGATAAGCGGAAGGTCATGACACATCTCAACAGGTGGACTGACAGGTGCGCTAACCCCTACCCTCGCAAGCAGTCCTTTCGGTCAGGAACAGGCTCGGGAGCCTCACAGCCCCTTCACGGCCAGACAGGATCGTCCGTCCGATAGACCTGGTTTCAGACCCAGGCAACAGTACCAGGGCAAACGGCCCTTTCGTGGGGGAGGTCGCCCCTTCAGGAGGTCCAAGTGACTCCCTGGCTGCCCCTCCCATAGGTGGTAGGCTATCCCTCTTTTTCCACCAGTGTGAGTTCACTACCACAGAATCCTGGGTCCTCCAAACCATCCAATTTGGCCAGACGCTGGAATTCATGTCCAGCCCACCTGGGCGCTTCATCTCTTGCCCCCAGTCACGGAATTCAATCAAACGGGGCCTCATGCAAGAGGCCCTTTGTCATCTTCTAGACATAAGAGCCATAGAACCGGTACCGGCTGGTCAGAAGGGAGAGGGATTCTATTCCATCCTCTTTGTGGTTCCCATGGCCTCAGGAGTTTGGAGGGTGATTCTAGACCTCAAGGGTCTGAATTCCCATATTGCATACCGGAAATTAAAATCCAAACACTCCACTCCATCCTAGGCAGCGTCAGAAAGGGAGACTTCCTGACGTCTATAGACCTCATGGAAGCGTATCTCCACATCCCTATCCTTCCTGACCACTACCAGTATAGGGCCACCACTACCAGTATAGGGCCCTGCCGTTTGGACTCTCCTTGGCTCCCAGAGTGTTCACCAAGATACTGGTGGTGCTCACAGCACACCTAAGACTGGTACCTGTACGCATTCAATACTACCTGGATGACATTCTCATCCAGTCCTCCCTTCTGGAGGCTCAGTCGGATCTGAATTTATAAATCCAGGTCCTCCAATAGCACGGATTCTCGGTGAACTTCCAAAAGAGTCAGACAGTTCCCTCGACCTGACTCCCACACCTGGGCGCCGTCATAGACACAGTCGGTTGCCTGGTCTATCTATCACAGGAGCATTGGGACAGTATCCAGGACTTAGCACTCAAGATATGCAGGGAACGCGTAGTGTCGCTGGCCCTACTTTCCCAACTCCTGGGAAAGATGGTTTCTTGTATCGCCATAGTCCCTTGGGCCAGACTCCATTCCAGGAATCTCCAATGGTTTCTGCTCCCCTTCCAGAGGTTGGGCACCAGTTCATCCAACCAAGAGGTAAGGGTTCCTGCCCAAACCCTGAGATCCCTCCATTGGTGGTTCTCGCCAGCGGTAGCCAGAGGGTCACCCTTTAAGGAACCCGTCCATCTCACACTTACGACGGACGCCAGTCTGTTCGGTTGGGGAGCGCACCTTCGGTCTCAGTTTGCTCAGGGCTGATGGTCTCGAGCAGACCTGGGACACAACATCAATTGGTTGGAGCTCAGAACCATACACCTGGCTCTCCGCCACTTCCACAACAAAGTTGCAAGGCAGCACGTGCTAGTTCTTACGGACAACGTGGCAGCAAAGGCCCACGTGAACCGGCAAGGGGGTACCCTTGGTCCTTCATGGCTGAGACCCAGTTACTGGGCTCCTGGGCAGAGTCCAACCTTTCCTCCCTCAGGGCCGAACACATTTTGGGGAAGGCGAACCAGCAAGCAGACTTCCTAAGCAGGTCAACTGTAGATCACTCCGAATGGCGCCTGCATCCGGGCCTCTTCGCAGAGATAGCGCAACGGTTCGGACAGCCTGTCCTAGATTTGTTCGCCTCTCTGACGAACTCGCAGCTCCCGAAATTCTTTTCCCGGTTTCCATCTCCAGGGGCAGAGGGAATGGATGCTCTTCGAGCCCCATGGCCAGGGGTCTGTTCTACGTATTCCCTCCTCTCCTCCTGATCCCGGTAATCATTCGCAAACTGCTACAGGAACCAGAGGAGATAATCTTTGTGGCCCCGTACTGGCCTCGGAGACTCTGGTTCACTGACCTTATGAACCTCTCCCGCTCTCTCCCATGGAAAATCCCACCAAATCGCGTGTCTCTCCACCAGGGGGTTCTACGACACCCGGAACCCCAGTGGCTACAGTTAGTCGCCTGGCACTTGAATGCCGGATCATGACCCAGAAGTCGTAGTCGACAAGAGTGATTTCCATGATCTAGGCCTCTCGAAGGCCGGCAACCAATCGCATCTATGACTCCACATGGAGGAATTTTTGCCATTGGTGCAGAAGGCGGCAACTGGATATCTCGGACTTGACAATTCCACAGATTTTAGAATACTTGCTCGAGGGTCTTGATAGGGGCTTAGCGCCTAATACCATTCGTAGGCAGGTTGCGGCACTATCAACCTTACTTACCTGTGCCAATTTGGTCCCTTTGGGCCAGCATCCCAGAATACGCACCTTTCTCAAGGGTGCCACCAACACAAAATCACCTGTGGTACATAAGTACCCCTCTTGGGAACTACCTCGGGTCCTACAGGTGCTCGCCAGACCGCCGTTTGAGCCTCTTATAACTTGTGCTCTACAGTCCTTGTCCCACAAGGTCACCTTCCTGATCGCTATCACGTCAGCCAGGTGCATTTCTGAGCTTGCGGCACTGTTGGTCTGGGATGACCTCTGTATCTTCCACCGGGACCAGGTGGTCCTTCGATTGGACCCCACATTCGTGCCCAAGGTCAACTCCCTTTTCTAGGGCAGATGATTGTTTTGCCGGATTTTTGTCCTAATCCTTCCCATGACTTGGAGCGGCAGTGGCACACACTGGACGTCCGTAGGGAACTATGCCGATACATCAAGTGAACGGCGTCTTTTCACAAGTGCAAGGTCCTCTTCTTTTCCTTTCACCCTGCCTATCTCGGACAGAAGGTGTCTGCCTCCACTATAGGCAGGTGGATCAGGGCTTGCATTGCGGAGGCGTACCAGTCATTTTCCCTGCCAGCTCCAGGTCATATCATGGCTCATTCCACTCGCAGTGCTGCGACCTCTGCAGCATGGGCCACTCAGGCGTCCATTGAGGAGATTTGCAGGGCTGCGACATGGTCTTCGCCCTCCCCGTTTGTTCGTCATTACAAAATTGACTGCTTTGCTTCCGCGGACGCCTCCTTTGGTCAGAGAGTCCTTCAGCAGGTGGTGTCTGGGGATATGAATCCGGCCTTGTCTGTTTCCCTCCCATTGGGATAGTGAGGCTTTGGTATGTCCCATTGGTGGATTCTCCATCTCCTGTGCTGGAGAAGGGGCGTTGCCTTACCTGAACGCCTTTTCTCAGCACGGAGATGGAGAATCCACTCCCACCCCTTAGGGCCCGTAAGACCAAGGTTAGGGGTCTGAGAGCCAACACGTCGGACTGTCGTCAGCTGCTTTTGCCCTCGTCAAGACTGGGTGTCCCCTAGCCCAGCAGGGGCATGGCAAGTTTGGGTGACTTGGTCTCAAGAGCAGGAAGACAGAACAAATCCATTGGTGGATTCTGCATCTCCACGCTGAGAAAAGGCGTTCAGGTAAGGCAACGCTCCTTTTGCTGTTCTAAAAAGATCTTATGTTTCTGGAACACCTCCTTGAATACATTTTTAAGCATAAAGAGCTGTATTTTGATGTTTATGTTTATTTGACAACAAGTAGGAGACAATTGTTTTATAATGCTTGTGTTCAAAGGAATCCTTTCTACTTGGGTTGAGTGTTTGGCATCTGCACTATTGATTCTTACTGTGCTTTGTTTTGTTTTTAGTTTAGTGAGTCAAAAAAGGCAAATTAATGCAGTCCTTGAACTAAATTTTGTTTAAACCCTCTGATAAAATAGATCCAGGTAACACTTGTTGAAGGTCAGGAGCTTGTATAATGTTGAAAATATGTCTGTTTTGAATTTAGGGGAAACCAGCTCCATTCAAACTAGTTCAACGTTCTATTTCCTTGAAAAGAAGGCAGCAGCAGAATACATGTGCAACCTACTCACCTGACTTTTAGGGAAAGAAGAGAAGTAGAAGAAAGGGAGGGAGGAAGGAAGGAAGTTTTAACTTACCAGGCAGGTATTCAACAGCAAGTAGTAATCATCTATCTGGACAAGGGTTTATTATTCAAAACATCCCCATGTAGATAAAGCCCTGGAATATCGTGATTGGCTATTCATGAAGAGGGAATGGGTGAGTCATGAAATTATGATAGTGGGTGAGTCTTAGTAGCTCAATCCCACTACAGTTCAGATGGTGTGGTAACTGGAAACTTAGAGTTCATTGGTAGGTGAATAAATGATTGGAAGTCATAAAGATATCAAAGAAATATTCTACAACTGGGATTCTAGATCAGGGGTCTTCAAACTTGGTCCTTTTATGACTTGTGGTCCTTTTATGAATTCTGAGAGTTGAAGTCCACAAGACATAAAGTCCACAAGACATTTATGACTTGTGGTCCTTTTATGAATTCTGAGAGTTGAAGTCCACAAGACATAAAAGGGCCAAGTTTGAAGATCCCTGTTTTAGATACTACCTTTGGGATTGTTCTTTCTGCTGGAAGTTCTAGCCTTATCTATTTAGTTGAGGTGGTCCACCTCAGAAGCCAAAAGATCTCTCCATTAGGAAAGAAAACATCTCAAGTGGAAGAATTGCCTCACACATGATATGCTATACATGCAACTATCTGAGAAGGAAATAAAGGGAGCTCCAGCATATGAGGATATCCTGAGTAAATTGAGTATTGAGGTAGGGTGTGTTGAGTAAGCATCCATCTTCTCTGGTCCCCTTCCCACTTCAGTGGATCTTTGCAACAATTTTGGCAGGTGTCTTTAAAAGTGCTGATGATAATCATTATATTAAATGGCAAAATGATCTTGCACAGTCAGTTTGGAAATAGTACAACTATGTCTGATACTACCTGTTTCATAATTATGGCTTAACTTACTGTGAAACCCAGAATGAAGTCTGCTCTGACAGGCAGCTTTTAAGCACATAGTCCATCTGTTATATGAACCACATCTAGCACTTTGATATGAAGATGCACCTATTTGTACCTGAATCCTGCAGAATGGGAGATGCTGGTTGTTAATACAGTAATAGCAGATGGCCCTTTGCCTTTCCCCAACTATGCCAGTGCACTGGAAAGACAACCTATGTTGTTTTCTTGCTAACAACTGCTTTATCCATTGCAATACTACAGCTCCCTTGTTTTTCAGAATACTAGTCAAACATGACCAAATCCAGCATATGCTAGGGCAGTAGTGGCGAACCTATGGCACACGTGCCAGAGGCAGCACTCAGAGCCCTCTCTGTGGGCATGCGCGCGAAGCTTCGGAGATGGCAACCATCCCTCTTCAACCAGCCACCCGCTAACTCGCCGAGATCCCACGTGGCCAGATGCATCCCAGCATGGCTGGTTTCCTTTCCCCCATCCCATCCCTCCTGGCCTCGCATGCTCTCCTTTTCCCAGGCACGACCCACTGCATTGCCTCCTCAGCTGTCGGCTGGCTGTCCAGCTCAGAGGCGGCTTCTCTGAACTGGCGGCGGGCCTCCCTGGCCCCTGCCTTGCCATGCGCTGTGACAATGGCACCGCCGCCCTGCCACACCTTGCCTCGCAGGATGAGTCTCCTGCCCACTGCCCCACCTGCCAGAGACCCCCTGGATCTACCCCAACCCTGCCCGGCTTCCACAGGCGTCCTTCCCCATGAGCAACATCGAGGTGACCATACCCAACTTGGCCACACCCACCCAGTCTGCCATGACCACCACAGCCACGCCCACCCAGTGGGCCACAGCCACCTGGCACCTGGCAATAAATAAGTGAGTTTTGGGTTGTAGTTTGGGTACTCGGTCTCTAAAAGGTTCGCCATCACTGTGCTAAGGTGTTTGCATCAAGTATGCAGTACTGGTACTATCCAAATTATTGCTGGGATTAAGCTGATTCAAAGCAGGACTCCTTTTATAGCCAAGAAGCAGACAGTGGAGTTTCTGCAGAGTACTTAAGTTAGTCAGAACATCATCAGTCCTGGTCCCTCCAAAGAGAAATAAGGCAGTTATTTTTTCAGGTTCTCTCTAACTAGTTGCTTGGAATAATGGTTTCAAATTACAGGAAGACATCCGTGCTACATGTTAAAAAAAAACACAGCTTTATATTGACAAGAGAAGTTTAAAGGGGGTCCTCAACCTCTGGTTCGTGGACCAGTACCTGGCCATGGCATGCCAGCAAGCAAGCAAATCCCCATCCATGGGATGCAGGCAGCACACAAAACCACGCTCTCTTCAGTCAACAGAAAAACCTCTCCATGGAACCGGTCCCCGGTGCCCAAAAGGTTGGGGACTTCTGGCTTAAATTGGGAATTACAATGAAAAGTGAAGGGTATTAGATCATAGAGCAAAGTAACATAGCACTATCATATCTAATACTGTATTAACACAATAAGCTAAAACTGTGATGAAATAGCTGCTTCCCTTTCTTCTTGAAACTGAAGAAGATGAAATAAACCTCCACTAAATGGTTTTTTTTATTTCTGTCAGCTGTCCAGATATCTTGTTAGACTCACTTTGTAAATGTGAAAAACCTATGCTAATTAATTTTTAAATTATATAATAAACATTTAATTTGCACATAATTAAAACATTTTCTTGCCCTGTATAATATTTTCCTAATATTTATTTTAAGAGAGAACTTAGTTATACCTAATTGTTTCTTAATCCCTTAACATGTGGGTGTTGGTATGTCTCTCTCTCTCTCTCTCTCTCTCTCTCTCTCTCTCTCTCTCTCTCTCTCTCTCTCTCTCTCTCTTACACACACACACACACACACAGTATGAATTTTAGAACTACCTTATCTGAATTGCCAGAGTCAGACAACTACTGGATGGTAAATTCTCATTATTGTCATCTAGTGCAGTGTTTCTCAATCATGACAATTTTAAGGCATGTGGACTTCAATTCCCAGAATTCTACAGCCAGCAATGCTGACTGTGGAATTCTGGGAGTTGAAGTCCACATGCCTTAAAATTGTCAAGGTTGAGAAACACTGACCTAGTGTGTTTCTCCAGCACTGGAGATGGATAATCCACGCAGTGGGTTGAGACTGTATTCCTGGCCAATCAGATCAGTCAGCCAAAGTTGCCACGCCCTGTCCTGGACCATGATTCTCCAGTCTTGACTGATCTGGCCATACAGAAAGACCTACAACTTTGGCTCCTGGGCAGGTATAGTTCCTTTCCATTGGGGGGGATTTCTTCTAGTAGCTGAAATTGCTTAGTTTAAAAGTTAATTAGAGATAATTTAATTCAATTTAATTGATTACTCAAAAATTTCCTGGCTAAATTGTAAGACTCAGGAAGTCAGATTCCCTACAGGGGAAACCACCCCCACTTAAAAGGGGGAAATCCCTAACTCCCCTCCCTAACCCAAACCCCAACCACCTTCCAGCAGCCGGCAGCCGCCTTAAACAAACGGGGAGGCTCGTGCAACCCCTTGCGTTACAAAGAAAGAAAGAAAGACAGAAAGGCAGGCAATTAGCGAGGGGAGCGGAGGACAAAGGGGACGCATGCTGGGAGGGAGATTGATTAAGGGAAACAGCTGGCGTGCGAAGGAGCAGTCTCTTTCACTCACCAGGCTGCTCAGGATTTTTAAACGAGGCGCCATTGTCTGCACAGCTGGGAGCACGCGTGGCTCTTTGTTACAACCGCACGTGGCACAGGCAGCCTTTTTAGCACAGGCGCAATAATCTCCTGATCCTTTTAACACATGCGCAGTAGTCTCCTGGCAGCGGCGGCCATATTTTTGTCCAAACAGGGGATCTAAGGCTCCATGTGAAGCATAGGTTCAGCCGCTGGAGTGAATTAATAGGCAAGCAGTACTGGGGTACTAAAGCATCTATTATTCATTCAGAGACATTCAAATCAGACACATAGCTGCGGGTTCCAGGACTTGGTGTCTTCAATCTAAAGTAAATAAGACCCTTTCATAGCTAACTGTGTTTAGTTGCCTTTGGCTCCTTCCGGACTTCGGTTCCCCCATTAGTGGCCCGTACGCTTCTGGATTTAGTGGTGGGTTCCAGGCATCCCCAGTCGCGTGCCTGTCCTTACCCACCATAGTCAAGCCGGGTTCCAGGCATTCCCATTAGCGTGCCTGTTCTTATCCGTGCACAGTGACTAACTCTGACAATTTTGCAGAGTCTGCTCCTGAGTTCCAGACGCCCCCAGTAGTGCGCCTGTCCTTACTCAAAGTTGGAGCTCTCCTACTACCTGGGTCCCCCCTATCGCGGCCCAGCGTTAGTGGAGAATGGAGGAAGCAATCATTCCCTCCACTGGAGCCCCGCCTTCATCCTCTGGAGCACCTGCTTCAGAGGATTCGGAATCCTCTGCAGCCCCTAGAAAGGCTGCAAGGAAGTCATCAAAGAAGGCTGACAAACAGGCAATCAGAAGACACCAAGCCCTAGAAAAAGAGTTCGACAGAGCCCAGAAAAGGGCCAGAAATGAAAATAGGCAGAATGGGGGGATAGGTCCTGATCTACCGCTGGGTCTCCCTTCATCCCCACG